GCTATATAATAAGTCTAAATTATTCGTTATGTTTCGCTCAGAAAATATCGCCAACTTAATTCAACTCTATTATATGCAAGTATAATTCAACTCTGCTATATAATAAGTCTAAATTATTCGTCATGTTTCGCTCAGAAAATATCGCCAACTTAATTCAACTCTATTATATGCAAGTATAATTCAACTCTGCAATATAATAAGTCTAAGTTATTCGTCATGTTTCACTTAGAAACATCGCCAACTTAGTTCAACTCTATTATATGCAAGTATAATTCAACTTTGCTATATAATAAGTCTAAGTTATTCGTCATGTTTCGCTTAGAAAATATCGCCAACTTAATTCAACTCTATTATATGCAAGTATAATTCAACTCTGCTATATAATAAGTCTAAGTTATTCGTCATGTTTCGCTCAGAAAACATCGCCAACTTAATTCAACTCTATTATATGCAAGTATAATTCAACTCTGCCATATAATAAGTCTAAGTTATTCGTCATGTTTCGCTTAGAAACATCGTCAAGTACTGGAATCCGGGATTCGAGATCTGAAATCTGGGATCTGCTCACTTAGGCTGAGCTCTTGTCTTCTCTGACTTAATCTTCTAGGCTGAGATCTTGTCTTCTAGGATCTGGGATCCGGGATCCGGGATCTACTCACTTAGGCTGAGCTCTTGTCTCCTCGGACCTACTCATCTAGGCCGAGATCTTGTCTTCTAAGATCTGGGATCTGGGATCTGCTCACTTAGGCTGAGCTCTTTTCTTCTCGGACCTACTCATCTAGGCCAAGATCTTGTTTTCTGGGCACTAGTTTTGGTTACTGGTATGGCATGTCTTGTAATAGAAATGTCGGCTGCATTACGTTGTTCTGCATCATGAGGTTGACCACTGTTTGTAGATCTGTCAACTTATTTGCCATGTCTTTCAGTTTTCTTGTCTTTTCTCCGGCATCTGTCCCTCCATACCTGAAGGTTGCTTTTACGATAGTACTTATCTCGGCCTGCTTTCTTCGGTGCGTCTCCTTTTTGGCCGATGTTATTCTTCCTAGGATTCTGATCCCGTGCTCCTTCATTACGATTTTCTTCTTCCATGTTTAGATTGGCAAGTTTACCACCCCCACTAGGGATGTTGTCCCCAATCTTTTCTCCCTGCTCGTTGTTGGCCATCTATTCTCCTTAAGTTCCCACAGACGACACCAAATTGTGGGTGTTGATTTTCGACCACACAACCAAAATAGGGAACTCAGCTGGAGAGCACTGGCAGAATAGATTAAGCCCGAATAACTTGTCACAAAAATATAAGAATCTTGCGGTGGTTCGTCCACCCGGGGGCACTCCGACGATCAAGTCAGTAAAATATCTCTCAAAGATAACCAATAGTGTTTAACTCACTAGACAGAGCATAAAAAGCATACCTTAGACCCATGAGGGTACCTCCCTTTTATAGCCAACACAAACTTAATCCCAATAGAAGTCTTGCTTCAATGGGCTCTTGATTACTACTAATCTTAGACTCCCAGTAGGATTGAGATTAACTCTCTAAGAGTCTTATCTTTATCTAAACTGAAGTCCTCTCCCAATCTAGAACTCTAGTCCTCTATCCAAATAGATAGTTTGATGTCATCTAGGACTCTAGTCCTCTATCCAAATATCTCATATTCCGGTATTATCACACCATATCTCGGCATCATGGTCCGCCCACATGGCACCTCGGCTAACAACCTCGACCATGTGGACTACCCAAAAATATATTTCCACAATCACAAACAACAAAAGCTCCTTAATGTGAAAAATGTTACAGGAATGAGAAGATTCATATCATAGTGTTAATGTTTAAAATCTTCTGTTATTCTACTAACGTGGATATTTACGATGGTGAGTTGAAACAATCATTTAATATTCTAATAGTGTGGATATTCACGATGATGAGCTGGAGCAATTATTAGATATTGTAACAGTGTAGTTATTCACATTGAAGAGTTGGAATAATTATATGATATATTTTAACAATGTGGATATTTATATTAACGAGTTAAAACAATCATCAATGGAGTATGCTAGAGAAACCTCACAACGTCGTATCAACCGCACCTATCCCTATTCGTCCTCAACAATCTCCGTCGTTGGTCCACCCCGTCGTCTATCCTTGTTAGCATAGATCCAACGCAATGTTTTGAAAACCGGACCGGTGAACGAACCAAAAAAGAGACCGAGTGGACGGGTCATTAGTTCAACCGACGGGTCGAAGCGATAGAACTGTGATGTCATAATTACATCATAGATATATTAAAAAAATATATATATATGTTAAAAATATAAGTGTAATAATGAAAAAAAAAATTAAATTCAACAAAATAATAGAATTTTCAAATATCACTCACAATGAAATTATAATTTGCAATAATAATGTGACATACCTTGTTTTTATTTGTTGAAGACCTTTCTTTAAATGGGCTGTGCAACACTTTTGACAAGCAAAAATCACCGCACAATTTACACATATATCAAAGTTAGAAAATAGAACATATTATAAATACAATCATAATAATGAAAGTAATAAAAACATTATATTAAAATCAATTAATATTACCTATTTGTCAAATAAAAACACAAACATAGTCAAATAAAATACTATAGTTTACTACATCTATTAAGAGTCAAATCTCAAACAAAAACATAAACCAAGCAAGCATAGAGATAAAATCTATAATTCCAAATCTTAAATCACACTAATGAGCATCCAGTCGAAGAAAACCCTTTTGTTGTGGCCTTAAGATTTGGGATTTTTTCAGTGCTATATATATGTTCAACAAACCCAACCGATTCATAATAACCCAGTCTGGGTCACCAGTTTTGCCGGTTCAACCGGCGGTCCATCCAGCTCTTGCATTTTACACCGGTTTTTATCCTAATTCGGATTTAGAGGTTTTTCCAGACTAGAACAAGGCCCGGTTACCCGTTCGACTGGCCTGGTCAGTCTAGGTTTGTAAACATTGATCCAATGCGAATCAAATGGAAAATTGAAGAATGAAAAATGATAGCTAAAGGATAAAGAAAGAAATTATATATATTTTATAATAGAATCCTAATGCATCACATATCCATAAGGGCAATAATGTCAACCAAAAGCATAAAATATGGGACTTAAGATTTACTGGATCAAATCTCTCAAATAATAGAACTTATGGGACTTAAGATTTATTGGATCAAATCTCTCAAATAATAGAACTTATTAGGATATTAGAAAATACATAAGACTAATTGAGGCACAAGTCTATAAAAATTGATTTATGGCTATTTTTCTTTTTAAAATACAATCTAATGATACATCGCATGATAAACTTAAATATGATATATAAGTAGTCATGAGAATTACTCCCCCTGAAATATCATCCCTCATGATGTGCACTCTTGAATATCAATTATTGATTTCTTTAAGAAATTAACCAACTAAAATTTAATGGCTTGTTTTGAAATTAATTATTTTAGTTGATTTTTTTAATTTTTTATAAAAAGACATAAAAAATAGAAAGAGTGATGTGATTGGATATTTTGAATTTTTGACTATTTTAATAAATAAAAAAAACCTCATCCCAAACGAGAGACTTGATTAATTTGAGAAAATTTTAAAATAATATTTTAAAAATTTGCATCTTCTCTCCATTACATTTTTAGATTGTTATGGTCATGCAAATTTAGGGGTCGTTTGAAATGACCTAAATAAGTATATTTTTTAATTTTTTACAAAAAAAAAAGTGAATTATGAGTTAGATTTGAAATGATATGGTAGAAAGGTAATATGACTCAAATAAAATAATTGACCCAAATAGAATAATGTGCTAAAATAACATGTGCTATTTTAGCACATTCCAAACATCCCCTTATTATCATTTCAAATTAAAAAATAATTACAATTATTGACTTAATTTTTTTTCATAATTATTAAATAATTTAATGGAGATGATTTATTACAATATTTATATTTTAGAAATTTTTAACAAAAGTCATTGGTAATGGGCTTGTTTGATGCGCGTGTGTGTTTTTTTTTTCCTAAGTAAAAGTTGATAATTAGGAAGGAGAAGTCAATAGTATTTCTCCATATGCTTCTAAATAACCGTTTCGTTCAATTTATTTAAGTTATTTATAATTAATAAGTTAGCATCAAATAATCTAGCACACTCTTACATAGGAATTGGGGTGGCTATTGTGCAGAGGTGCACAGCAGTCACTGCTGTGCAGCCAATTGGGCCCTTTTTGGAGCCTATTTTGATAATCCGAAAGTTCACATTTTAAAACACATCAAGTAGAACATACCTGTAAAAAATCAAATTAATCGGATATCGTTTACCCATTCATCCACTCACATTTGTATTCATTTTAATACTTTAAATTACAATTGTTATTTATTTTTGTACATACAAATGTGTGTGGATGAATCGGTAAACGATATCCGATTAACTTGATTTTTTACAAGTATGTTCTACTTGATGTGTTTTAAAATGTGAACGGTTCGGATTATCAAAATGAGCCCTGAAAAGGGCCCAATTGGCTGCACAACAGTGGCTGTTGTGCACCCTCGCACAATAGTCACCCCAATCCCTCTTACATATGGGTGATAAACGAACCGAACAGTTAATTATTCAAATTTAGTTTGAAAACTTAAATGAGTTTCAAAATTTGCTCAATCTTGATTGGTTAAACTTTTAAATCAATCTCAAATAAATTTTTGTCAAACTAAGTTCGAGTAATCTAATATTTTTATATAATTTTAAACTTTTCGAACATAATTAAACGAGCAATTGACTATTTAAATTTTAACAAATTTCAAAATATGTTTAAATTTAGTTTATTTTGTTAACTAGTTAACTATGAATGAACTTTTAACAAAATGAAGACGAGTTAAGTTCGAACTATATTAATTCCTTTAGCACCTTTGAAGAAAGAAAAAAAAAAAACCCTAATACAAATGGGCATAAAATGGATCGGATCCAAGTCAAGTCGGATGAAAATGGGGTCCAACAGCTCCAACTCAGTTCTCTCACTCCCTTCTCTCTCCTCTGAGACCAACCCATAATCCAAAACAATGGCGATTTGTGTCGCCAGTTTCGCTTCAATCATGCTCAATACCAGGGCCTCCAATTGCCGGACCTTAGCGGCCACCCCTGTTTCACTCGTGCGCGCGCTTGCCTCTTCTCACTCTCTCAAGAATCAACCCAAGTCCCACACTTTTTGGCAGTTTCGGAATCGGAAATCTCTGCAGAGAAAGAGAAGAACTTTCGCTTTTGAACCCCTGTCTGCTGTATCAGATGTTGTCCCCTCGATTCCCACTTCTTCCCCAACTTGGTACTCCACTTTTCTTCTACTATTTGAACTCATTTTTGCTTGGTGCCTATTGGGTTATGTCGATTTTTAGTTCAGGGCTAGTGTGTTGCCATTTTCACTTTGTTTTTGCCAAGAACTTTAATGGGTTTTATTTGGTTTGAAGTCTGTACGCAAGAATAGTTGTGAAATCAGTACAACAACAACTACTACTTCTGATGAGAATTTGCATTTGTGTTCTGTATTCTGTTGGGTTATGTTGTTTCTTAGTTCAGGGCTAGGTTGTTGCAATAATTCACTTTGTTTTGCTAAAAACTTTAATGGGTTTTATTTGGTTTAAAGTCCACATGTAAGAATAGTTGTGAAATCAGTACATCAACAACTACTACTTCTGTTGAGAATTTGAATTGTGTTTAGTATTCTATTGAGGATTAGCTTCTTTTAAGGATTAGTTTCTTTTAACAATTAATGCAATAATAATGGATCTTCAATTACTGAAGTTAGAAGTAGAACCCATCTATAATTCCTTGCAATGCATTATTAAAAATTATCTTCAAAATGGTTTAGGTCTATGTATTTTTATTTTTTTTTTGATAAATGATTTAGGTCTATGTATGTATAAAGGCCTTTCACTGAAGATTCTAATTCAATCTGTTCCTGTGTTGCCACTTGCCCACCTCATGTCATTGTTTTGGCCATAAGTTATATATATTTGTTCTCTATTGGCTATCTCAAACTTTCGTACTAAAATGTGAAACCATAGAACATATGATTAAATTGATTTCTAATGTAGTTGAAAAATGTGGTCCTAAAATGGATACATCTTTAACAATATTTATTTTCTTAGGAACCAAATTGATTGTGCCGATTTTCCATTGAGATAATTTGAGATATTTTACAAGCATCCTTTGAACAAAGTTTTTCCAATGGAAAGCACAGTTATGTGAAATTTATTTAGATTCTCATTGTCTTTTGAATTATGATGTACAAAGAAAAATGCTAGGGACGCCAAATGTTTTACCAAATGTTCTACCAAATGTCTCACATGGGTGTGGGACCCACACCATGTGAGTCCCATGTGGGTTCCACATCCATGTGAGACATTTGGTAGAACATTTGGTAAAATATTTGGAGTCTCTAGCATTACTCGATGTACAATTCCATATACTGAATTGTGGGTCATTGTCCTCCATTTCACTGATACCAAGGTTGTTAAATTTTGCAACTGACATGGATGTATAACCGCGGATGCTCGTTTAACTTTGTCCTCTATATCTTAGTTTGATACGAAGTTAATACATTGTTTCGTAGCTTTATCTTAGTTTTAATTTTCTGACATTTAGATTTCATTTTCTTCCAGTTACCCCAAGTATCATCGCTTGCTTCCATGTCCATCAGAAAACGGTCCACCCAGAGTTGAGCACTTAGTTGTTTTGGTAGGAGGGCCTGTTCTTGAATATATTAGTAAAACTTTGGATCTTCCACCTATGTGAGTGTTTTCATTCTTATTTATTTATTATTGTTATGTTCAACTGATTCTAGCACAAGTATCTTCAATTACCCTACTTACTACTAGCAATTAACAAGGGTAAAATACTGAAGGGAAATCTTTGTATTCAAGGTATGTTGCAGATCTCATCCATTTCGGAGCTGTATATTATGCCCTTGTATGTCCAGATCCGCCTCCAACCGCAACGGCAGAGGAATTTAGGATATATAAGGAAGCTACAGCTCCAGCAGTTCTGAGAAAGAGATCTTCCATTAAAGGAAAAACTATACGAGAAGCTCAAAAAACTTATCGGATAACTCATGTTAATGAGTTTGTTGAAGCTGGAACTTACTTAAGGGTGCATGTACACCCAAAACGCTTTCCAAGGTAATAGATTAAAAAATTCTTGACAACAATTTTTACTTTATTCTGTTGTTAAGTGTGGTATCTCTTGACATGTGCGTATTGTTCAGGTGCTATGAAATTGACTGGAGATCCAGAATTATAGCTGTATCTGAATCCTACGTTGTTCTAGACAAACCAGCGGGTACATCTGTATGTAAATGTTCCATTTATTTTTCATCCTTTTAATGTGGTGTTAGCAAAGTTGATAGTTCATTATTGGTGGTCTTATAAGGAAGCATTCCTACTTGAGAATTGTAGGTGCTGCATAGCTTTTCTGTTCTAATGACTCATGGTAAATATTACTTTGTTCTTTTTCATCTTGTTTTGATTTCCCTTAGTCCTGACATGATATATTCCTGTCCCTAGCTGACTTTTTTTTTTTTAAAAAAAAAAAATCCTCTTTCAGTTTTTCAGCCATATTTGTCTTAATTGCGCATCAAAGAAATATTTGAAAATTGTCTTGAGGCAATTTCCTATTTATTATGATCAAATGACCGTATTTATCAGAATGTTCATCATTTTATCTCTTCCTCTCTTTCATTTTTCCCTTATTATGTATTTTTTGGAAATAGAGGAAATCAAATGAGTATAAAATTTTAAGTTTGTTAAAATGTCAATATATTTAATGTAGGTTTTTAATTGCTTCATTTGAAGGATTGGTAGTTTATTTGTTATTAAAAAAAGGGACTGATATGTTGACTCAACAATTTGTGTAAAAAAATTACTAAAATTATCCTCAGAAATTTAGAAAGAAACTTTTATCCTCGACTACCTGTTTAACTGACTTTCTCTCTCTCTCTCTCTCTCTCTCTATATATATATGTGTGTGTGTGTGTGTGTGTGTGTGTGTGAACCAATCAACCAAAATTTGTTAATGAAATATTAGTAGTTGATGATGTGATCTATTTGTGGACTTCAGCAGCACAATAAGTTGTTTGTTCAGTGATTATGAAGAGCGCAAATAAAGTGTTAAACTCAGGGATTTCTCAGCTGGCTAACTGATATCATTTACAAGGACTTAGATTTCATTTGCAGCCATTTTGCTACAGTATTTGCTCACCATTTAATAATTTGTACCTCATTGATAGCTCACTGCACCATGTCAATTTTGATTAGGTTGGAGGAACTACAGACAATATTGAAGAAAGTTGTGCAACATTTGCTACTCGTGCCTTGGGATTTGCAGAGCCATTGAAGACTACCCATCAGATTGATAATTGTACAGAAGGCTGGTATAGTTTCTGAACTGGATTTTCTAATATATTTTGGCTATTGATTAAAATATAATATACGCTTCGTATATATGCAGTGTTGTGTTAGCTAGAACTAAGGAGTATTGTTCTGTTTTTCATGGAAAAATCAGAGTAAGTTCGTGAATTCCATTTCTGATTTAGACAGTACATCATGACATGTTAAATGAAAAATTGCAGGCTTCATTTTCTTGTACATCCCACTTTATAAGGGCATATCCTTGATGAATGTACATGCAAACTGAGTTTTATTTATTTAATTCTATTTACAAGATTGGATGACTTTTTTTTTGGCTTGTCTCCTTTATACTATTCACTCTGAAGCTTTATATCTTTCTATCATCAGGAGAAAAAGGTAAATAAGCTTTATCTTGCTCTTGCTGCTGCTCCTGTGCCAGTTGGCATAATTACCCACTACATGCGGCCAATCAATATGGCTCCAAGACTTATTTCTGAAGGTAACCAGCTCTATTTAGCACGGTGGGTATTCCATAAATTTGTTTTCAACCTTTAAAAAGTAACCTCCCGATATCTTCAAGTAGACAGACACTCGTTTTTTTTTTTTTGCCTTTTCTTTGTAGTTTTAGTTAGACTTGAATGTGAGCTAAAGTTCTTAATCGCAGATTTGGCTAAGTTGTGAGACATAGGATCGTGTGTGTGTGTGTGTGTGTGTGAAAGATGTAATCAATTTACTGATAGTCCATGAAAATCCACGTGATAAAGAACCATTTCTTTCTAATTGGAGACTCTGCTATGGGTGTTGCAGTTGGACTGAAGACAAAAGCTTTCTCTGAACAATTTCAGCTATTTCACATGTTAACATGACAATAACATGTCTTCATTACTTTTGTTTTTTGTGAGAAGATACCTCTATGAGATATATGGTTTATGCCAGAAAGGTATGAAGTTGGACTAATATGGAAACATTGGGCAATTTACTTTATACCTGCTATTCCTTCTGGTTTTGGTTCCTAGTCTTATTTTATTAGTAGCCATGACTGGGGCTGTAGTATTGACTATGCATAGGACTACTAAGGTGAAAAGACAGGAAGCATTCTACAAAATTCTATTATATGAATCAATCTTGCTCACAGCAAGTCGTTACCCATCAGATTCATGTTGGAGCTTCATTTTGACTTATCTTCTAATTATTTGTCACTTGATATTAGATTGAGAAAGAAACTAATTTCTTTTGTAAAGTACTTTCATTTTTTGCTTCCTCCTTATCTCTTGCATGAATTAGACAGAGGAAGTGGATGATTTTGAACTTCTTCTTTTTCTCATCAGTGAGAAGTGATGGGACTTTGCAGAGGATACAATGCTGATGAATAAATTGCTGAAGAGCATCTTTCTAAGACTTGCGAAAAACATCTTTATCTACCTCTTTTCTTACTGGATCAATCACAAAATTGTTATGGCATGCAGATTTCTCTAAAGGATGGCATTTGTGCCAACTTGAGGTCTTGGATTGCAAGAAGGTTGCATGGCTGAACTCTGTAACTGAAGAGAAGTATTGTGTTGAGGACTGTGGGTGGCCTTTAAAAAAGTTTGCATATGAGTGCAAAATAAACCTTTTGACAGGTCGAACGCATCAGGTACTTTATTTGTGTCTTTTTGGGTTTGTTTGATGTTGTTTCCCTCATCTTTAGCAATCACAAGCTATGATATTTAGAATTGCAGCGTGTGTTTGTGACCATTATTTTTATCACATCTGGTTTGTGGCAGTGAAGAATTATAAGTGGTTACAATTTGCTCGACTTTTTTTTATCAGTGTTATTAATGAATCAAATTAAGAAAATGAAGAACTTCACTTCAAATCTAGAAAAAGAAAAAGTTAGTAGCTTGCAGTTCTGAATGCATCATGCAGAAGATGGCTTTACTGCCAGACAAACAGCAAATTTCAAGATTTTAATTTTTTTGCTTTGCAAAGCCTCATTTTGAAATGCGATGCAGATTCGTGCACAATTGGCTGCCTGTGGTGCACCGATAGTGGGTGACTCAATGTACATGCCTGCTGCAATTGCAGAGATGATCAGTCCTGGGCTTAATCCATTTGGAAAGTACAAGAAACAATGCACAAGTGAGTATGATAAAGCAATGGCTATGCAGGAGTGGATTTCACATCACGGGAAGGAACCTAGTGTTGCTATTGGTCTTCAAGCATGTCAGATATCATGGGATGATGGAGAGCACTTCTATGAGGCTAGGTCTCCCTGGTGGAGATAGGAAACACCGTAGGTGTGCTAATACTTCTCGCTGGATATGAAAGGCCACCTAAAAACATTATTTTCCTTCACATGAAGCATGACACGTTGACTCCTGTCTACCTAGTCACTCTTTTTAAAGAATCAGGAGTTACATTGTCAAAGCTCAGAAGAGTAGTTTATGAAGGAAATTTGAACTTCTATGATTTGGCAGAGGGAGTCTCGGGAACCACATAGCTCCTAAATTTTACCAGATGATTGCATGTACCCACAGAAACTAATCTCAACTCAAAATGGTTCAGGGACAGCACGGTTAATTGGGAGGAAGGGGGTTGGGATTGTCTGTGGTTCGCAAAGGATGTGCTTGTTGCACATTTTATGTTCTTCTAGTCTTCAAGAATTTAGTTGTATGACAGTGCATGTAATGGTTATAAGGTTGTTTAGAGGAAAGGAGTACTGAATATTGATCAATAAAGGAAGTGATGTTGCCATAAAATTGTGTGATTACCAAAGGGCATAGAACATTGCTGTTTCTGTTTCTCTCTCCTGTTGGATTGTTCTGCAGGTGGAAACTGGTTTACCTTGACTTACTCTTATTTACTCCTAGTTATCGTCTTTTGGTGATTTATATTCTTCTTCCATAGGAAATGTAGGCTAAAAAGTTTGTGTTGATGCCTTATAAATTAGTAAGACCTTTCATTTCATAAAAAGTAGCACATGCAAGAATTCTTGTTTCCTTGTTCTCTATTCCGTATCTTGTGTTTGTACATTAGTTGTTAAAAGTTATACATACATCCTTGAACTAATATTGTGCAAGGGAAATGCCTCTTTATTTATTGGTTTTAAGTGTTGTCACTTTCAGCATTGAGTAGAAAGGTAGAGATTCATTGTTGTCGTTGAAGTCTGTCAGTTGATTTGTCCTAACGTGTACTTGTCTTTCCTGCAGGAATGTGAGAGTAATGCTACAATGACCATGTTTATATACTGCATTGGGTTTACCATCTCATTTGTCATAATTGCATTGGTTGAATAGGTTCCATCACTCATGTCTGTTACCAACACAGTAATGACATATCACATGGTAAACTAAATATGGTATATAAACATGATCATTGTAGCATTACTCGAGTAGAAAATGTGGTCTTTCATTGGTTTGGTGTTTTTTCAATTTTTTTTTTCTGCTTGATTTGTCATGTCTATAAACATTGTGTACTAGTGTTGGTTAGAAGTCAGGTGAAGATGCGTGGCCCCTAACAGGCACTCATAAAAACATCATATACGAGTTGGCTTTGCTGCATCAATTTTGGCACCTTTTAATTTGTATCAATTCGAGACTAGGCATTGGCATGATGGCCTTCAACTGGTATGGTTTCTGGCTTTGACTGCTGTGCAATTCTGCTTCCCATTTCCCTTCCCCTCTGACTGGTTTTCTAAAAAACACTAGTGCAAATTGATATTTTCTCATCAATGTCATCCTGCCTATGCCTTATTTGTGATCAAACCATTAAAATCTAGGTAAATTACATTGACCTCCCGAGGTTTGGAGATAATATAGCTAGTCCCATAGATTTGACATGATTACTTTCGGCTCCCTTAAAGTTTTAATTTACATAACACTTGGCCCCTTTTTCATTAGTAATTTGTTAGTCATAATGATGAAAAAATGTTGTCATATTTTTTACACTGAATTGTATATTTTATCTTGTTTATCCTTGTGTTTTCACACCATCTGCATTTGTTCCGGTCCCTTTAGCTTTACTAAAATGGAAGTCGATGTAATTATGTCAAGACTATGAGACTTGTTTTATTCTCTCCAAACCTCAAGGGAGATTATCATAATTTACCCTTAAACCAAAATTCTCCCACTTGAGCATTTGACTGAAATGCCAGAAACTGTACTAGTAACCATAATAACCACAGAGATGAAGAAAAGATAGAAAGAAGAAAGTGAACATTTCACATTTTACCTTCTTTTCTGTTGAAGTATCATCAGAAATGAAAATTTCCATTTACTCTACTTCTAAGGTACTGTGATCTTTATGGTTACAAATGAACTGTTTGTACCAAGTTGCAGATAGTTTTGGAGTTCTCTTGAGGGTGGCATAATCAACATGGTGAAGCCCGAACCTTCTCATGTACCCATATGTCCACTCGAAGTTGTCAAGCAAGGACCAGGTAAAGTACCCTCTCACATCTGCTCCTTTCCTGCACATATAATCAAATATGCTACAGATTACTAAGAGCTTCAATATCTGTTTTGTAGAAGAAAAAAACAAAAGCTGCCCCAAGCTAGAGGGTTACAGGCACACAAAAAAAAAAGAAGCCATACGCCCAAGGTTTGCAATCTAAACTCAGTACTTTCAAACCAATTGCAAAATGATTAAATTGCACTAGCGGCATTAAACTTGAGTGTTTTGCACTCAATATGGCTACATAGCATGACAAAATATCAGTTAAAGATCTGCTTTCACAAGAGGGTTTTCGTTTGGTTGTGTTTTTTTGTTTTCTTTGTTTTCGTTTTTTGTGTCATTGGAAACAAAAACAAGGAAAAGTTTGAAAACACCGTTGTCATTCTGTAGTCAAATGTGGTGGTTGTACCTTATTGCTGTTGCTAGAAAATCCAAGTAGCAGCTCATGTACTGCACTCTTTTGACATCATTAAGGGAAACTTCGACTGTAGAGTTGGGATTATCCATCTCACCAAATCCTACACAATCATGAGAAACATTTTTGACATACATAGCTGAAACTTTTCTGAAAGTGCTTCAAGAGGTTTTCTTCACTCACCATTCTCTGTAATGAACATTGGTGTGTTGTTGTATCTATCCTTTATGTATGTCACAATTTTTTCCATTCCTTGAGGGTAAACATATAGCCAGTCCACCTCAGTCTACAACATCAGAAATATTTTTTGAGTAATTTTTCACATATTAAAAGTGGAAGTTGTGGTGATAGAGATAGGCAGAGGAAGCATACAGGCTCTCCAATTAGGTTCCCATCTTTCATTGCAGTCTTTAGAGCATAGCCTTCTGTCCTCGAAACTCCTTGTCCACGTTCACATGCAGAGAATATGCAATCTTTGACGTAAAGACTAGTATAATGGTTAATGCCGATAAAGTCTAATCCTCGTTTCATTTTCTTCAAGTCACTTTTTGAAAACATAGGCAGAATAGGTCCTAGAATCTCGTGCATTTCTTCCGGGTATTTTCCTAATATAATTGGATCTAAGAACCTGCAGTGAACTTGTATTGGGTCAGAACATTTAGAGAGAGATTGAGCTCATATAGAAATGTGGATTATAAAAATTGCTTGCCAGTTCATATAGAAAGATTGAGCTCTCTCAGCTGCTAACTTATCTTCTAAGGAGTCGCTGATGGGTTCAAACCATAAGGCATTCATAACAATCCCAATACTACCTCCTTGATTTTTCTGATTGTTTAGCAATAAAGAGTACGAAAATTTAGAGAAACAGCTGCTATAGATGATTGTTTCCATCAATTGTCTTAGGTGCATTATGCAAATACATATTGAAATACCTGGTATTTAGTTCTGTAGATATCATTAGCGGCCACATGGGACAGAATAATGTTATGTGCTGCAATGAAAGGCTCTCTCTCTGAATCACCATTGCTGCAATTCCCAAATGAACCAGAGCAACGTGATGGCGGGAAAAGTCCTGTTCTGTAACCGTGAATTACTACAAGGTTCGGCTCATTGAAGGTAGCCCAATTCTTAACTCGGTCCCCAAAGTATTTAAAACATAGTTCTGCGTAGTATCTGAAATCTTCTCTGGAAAACATATGATCTACATTAGTCTGAAACTATAGTTGCAAGTTCTTTACTAATGGAATCCTCTAACAGCTGAATTTTTCTTTAAAAAAGAAAAAAATTTGATAGATAACCCTTTAATATATGATCTACGCTTGTCTTTTTTTCTTTTTCTTTTTCTTTTTTTGTTGCCCTAGAATTATTTTCATAACCAAGGGTTGATTTATAATGTGTCACAGTAAATGTTGTAGAAATAAAGATTAGAAGGTATAGGAAGACACTGCTTACTGCACTTTTGGACTTAACCAACCCCCATATCTATCTTCAAGTTCTTGAGGGATGTCATAATGAGTCAGTGTCACAAAAGGCTGGATCCCTAAACCAAAAGATGGAAATTATTGTTGACGGCCAAAAAAAAAAAAAAGATTTCTTCTCTATTCATAACTTCTTTTTATTTTTTATTTTTATTTTTATTTTTGTAAGTGTATATAAGATTCGTTTGTGCATATAAAGGATTAACATACAAAGATTGAAAGTTACCTTTATGCAGCAGCGCGTTTATGACATCGTTATAATGATTGATGCCGGCCATATTCACTTTTCCAAATCTCCCCTCTGTTTCAAAGTTAAGAATACAAATGAACTTTAGATAGGGAAAAAAAAAGATAGTTATAAATGAAAGCTTTTTCTTGGACAAATGTAAACCTTACTAGGTAGAATTCTTGCCCATGATATGGAGAATCGATAGCTATTGACTCCAATATTTTCCATGAGATCCAAATCCTCCTGTTTATATGATCACAAGCTCAAACCACCAATTTTAGGGTTTTGATTTTATTTTATTTTTAAGATAATTGAGTAATTAGATATTTTAGACACTTTGAAATTATGTTTCAGGATGGGAGAGATATCTTCTCATGGATTCACTTTGATGTTGCTTTTGTTTGGTAACTAGTATTATTTTCCTTTAGCTTATGCACTTTCTGTTAGCTTAAAGGTTGTTTTTAGATCTTAAATTTGTAAAAAAAATAAGAAAAGACAAATCCAAAAGCACGGACAAAAGGTCACAGCTTTATAGGAAAACTACTCGTGGCATAGGACCACCCTGAAATTTCTTTACTATTGAAGTTAAGAGTTAATTACACCAAGGTCTATCAACTATTTGTGAAATCAATTTACTTTCCTCATCTATGAATTCATATGTTTTGACCAATTCAACTATGAAAATGTGATCACTTTCACCCCTCTCTAGATCACCCTTAGAAGGGGCGTATTTGTATGATTTTTATATTTGAGGAGGTCAATATGAATGAGTTCATACATGAGGAGGATAAAATTATATTCGCTAATAGTTGAAGGGGTTTCACTGTAATTAACCCTTGAAATTAAATGAAAATGAACCTTGATATAACAAAGAAAGCAACATTTTTGTAATGTGTCTTGTATTTACCATAGGCTTTTTACTTCAGTTCTGAGACCCAATAGAGATTCACCGGGTTTTTTGTAGGGGTCTAGGGGCAACACCCCTAGCCCAAAGATTAGGTGGTCTGTATTGTAATTTTCAAGTAGCATTTCGTAGTGTTACAAAATAAAGAGTTGAGAGTTTTCTGTAATCCTTATTGACTTTAGTGGATTTGGTCTCTCATTCCTAGGCATATTGCTAAACCACCTATATATTGTGTTTTGTGTGTTTGTGTAACACCCCGTCCCATATTGAAAGTTTGCATGGGTGGTTTTCGGCATGTAAAGCACCACTAGTTTACTATTAAGTAACTTGGACTTAAGTTTTTAGGTCATGTTGGTAGACCCACAGGTTACTTGGGCCAGCAAATAGTGGAGTGTTACAAATGGTATCAAAACTGACCCATGGACACAATCGTGTGGGCCACTTATTCTGAGCTGGCCACGAGCTTGTCATGGTATTCTAATTGATTATGGCCCTGTTTGGTAGAGCTGTGGGAAAGTGCTTATAGCTTATGCTTAAACAGCTTATAGCTTATAACTTTCAGCTTAAGCTGATTTCCAGCTTATTCTTAAAGCATCTCCTGCCCCACTCAAAGAATAAGCTGTTTTCTGACTTCCACAAAGCTATAAGTTATAAGTTATAAGCTAAACCAAACACATCAAAATAGCTTAAATTAAGCTGAAAGCTGAAATAAGCTGAATTTAAGCTGTACCAAACAGGGCCTATGTACCCTTACGAGGACTTGAGAATTTATAAGAAGGGGAGTTTGTAATACCCCGTCCCACATCGAAAGTTTGCATGAGTGATCTTAGGCATAAGTTTGCATGGGTGATCATACTCATATAAAGCACCACTGAGTTTGTAACTCTCCATCCCACATTGGAAGTTTGCATGGGTGATCTTACTTATATAAAGCACCACTAAGTTTGTAACACTCCATTCCACATTGAAAGTTTGCTTGGGTAATCTTGGATATATAAAGCACCAATAACTTGGACTTAAATTTTTTAGTCATGTTAGCAGACCCACAAGTTACTTGGACTAACAAGTAGTAATGCATTACAATTTGATTGTTTCTATTTACTGTTTTTATTTTTTTACTTATATATATATATATATATATATATTGAAACTCTTTGATTTCTGCACTAATAAATGGGTTGATGGTGCTGAGATCATATCCTGTGTTTTTTTGTGATTGAAACTCTTATGATTTCTACGCCAACACTGATAAATGTGGTGATATTGCTGAGATCATTTCCCACTAGGTACTGATGGAAAATGAAAGGTGGAGCCATTCATGAAAGTAACCCCCTCAGTACTTGGCCCTGCAGTCTAAAGCCAGCAAGCAAAGTCTCTTTGAAGAATCTAGCAAGTTTTTATAGAAATGGCCGGCCATCTCTCTTCTCAATCGAGACAAATTTCAGTGGTCCCACTGTGAAATCATTGCACGAGGCCTCCACCCAATATGGACCCAGAAAGTCTATATCAAAAGCCATTCTTTCATGTCACTGTTTTGGCATGCATTTGAGTAGTTTATTCGTTGCTCAATCACTTGGTGTGCACATTCTCTCCACCATTTTGCAATGTATTATCAAAGGTTAAGTCTATCTAATGTGCCCCTCTCAGACCTCTATATAATGGGGATTGAAGTGAGCGTACTTTTTTAGTGTGTTATCAAGTGCGGCAATCTTTCAGTGTGCCCCTTTCCCGTGCTCAAAATCTAGTTTAGATTGTTCAAAGTGTATCATGGACAATATAACAAAAGTTTTGATATAAATTTTAAAATAAATTATATAATGATAAAGGAATTTTTTATATAAACTTTGAGTAAAAATTCAATATATCAGTAATATTATGTTATTATTGACATGTGATGTCACCAATTAATAATAAAGAAATACATAAAAGATGATTTATACATGTCAAATGTAACTAATAATCTAATAATTTTTATGTCTTTATTGAGATTATTATGTTTGTATGTTAATAATGATAGACATTATCATTATATGAAAATTTTCATAGATAATAATATGACTTATCGTCATTTCTTTATTTTCAATCAAAACAATCATTATTATTTTCATAATTTTAAAAATGTCATTGACATTTCACTCTAAATAATAATTTTATAAATTTTTTATTTAATATATTTTCTTCATATTTGTAAAAAATAAAAAATAAAAAAATCCAATGCGACTCCCGGGCCCTCTATACCTCCGCCACTGCTAGCCCCCTTCCCCAACCTGGGACCTATGATAGCATGCATAGCCCTAGTAGACCATAAGTAGATGAAAATAGCTTTTTGGTCTTCTTACCTCAAATAGGAATATTCACATTGACGGTGTCCCCCCCCCCATTGCATACCTTCGCCACTGCAAACCCCTTTCCCCTCCCGCATCAGTGACTCTCCCACCACTACGACTGGCCTTTCCATGGATCCTTTTTGCCAACCTCATTTTTCCCATGAGAGAGAGAAAGAGAGCTAGGATGGGACTTAAGGTTGGACTTGATTTGGTTTGGTTTAGAGAGAGTGAGAAAAAGCTAGGATTTTCAAATATGGAGGAGGGTGGGAAGGGACTGGTAGGTGAGGTGGTTGTGAAGGAGCAAGAATTCCCTCCTTGAATTCTCTCCTTGACTTCTTATTTGATGGGTCATTGGGTCGACTTTTGGACTCAATTTCGATGATTCGAACCGTTACATTTTAGAATTTGTCATATACATCATATCTATAAAAAATCAAATTGATCGAATATCGGAAGAATTGAAAACAGTTTATTAAAAAACAATTTAATAAATAGTTTTATTGTTTAATAAAACTTTTAGTTCATGTCGTTTTTGATATCCGATCGGCTTGATTTTTTACAAGTATAATATACATGACAAATTTTAAAATGTGAACGGTTCGGATTATCAAAATTGAACCCAAAAATCGACTTAATGACCTATCAAGTAGAAAGTTAAGTAGGGGATTCAAGGAGAGAATCCTTGCTTGTTGTTGTGAAGGGGTGGGCGTGGGTTTTAGAGTGTTTTGGTAGTTTAAAATTGAAATATAATTGTAATAAAAATAAAAGGTATATGGAGATTTTTGTTTTCTTTAAGGCAACATGTGTGGACTGGGCTGTGATGTTCAGGGCCAAGGGTCCACCATAGTCTTGATTTGATAATTTGAATCGTTTATTTTTCAAATCTCAATGTGTAAATTATTAATGAAAAAAATCAGGTCAATTTGATAATTATAGTTATGTTATTTTTTGACATTTATTTGTACCAAAATGAATAACAAATATTTTTTGAAGGTTTTGTTTGGGATGAAGGTTGTTTTTTTAACTTTTTAGCTATTTTAGCCTCGGGTTAAAAAGCCTCACTTAAGACCCCCATACATACATGACCCCCACAACCCCACTCTCATCCCAATCACTCATAATGTGGGGCTCACACATACATGAGTGGACCACATACCATTAAGGATCAAGCTCAAATTGGGGGTTACGGAACCTCCAAAAAGGCAGTCCCAAACATTTTTCTTTAGGTTGGACTTTTTGATTTTTTTGACTTTTGTAAGATCAAAAATAAAATGATTATAATTTGGATGTGACAGTTTACCTTATTGGTTTTTTAGCCTGTTTTGTCCTTTTATAACTATTTTAGCCTTTTAGCCCCTAAAACTAACCTGCCAAATGAGGGCTAAACCATTTATTTTTTAGGAGACAAATGTTATAAACTAATGTGGATATAGTTATTAGATCGACTTAATTTTTTTCATAAATAATCTACACGTTGTGGTTTAAAAAATAAATGATTTGAATTATCGAGATGGAACTTGTGGTGGGCCTCACGGTCCAGAGACAAGCTAAGCCCTTTGTGTAAATATAGAAACTCCAATTAGCCTCCCTTAGATGACGATGCAAGAGCTATGAGAGAACAGGACACCATCATTCAAAAGGGGAGAGAACATAATTAAATCAAATTTAAACAGATGAATACAACACCTCTCTCAGTTGTGTCCTCCTGAGCTTTTAAAGAAATTGACATTCTACCTATCAAAATCCTAACATGGGGACAGAGGATTTTGAGTTTGATTCTTGTTTGTCAACAAAATCTTATATACTTGTTTATATAGCCATATATTTAATAAAAAAATTGAAAATTCCCTAGTGATTGTGATGTATGGCCTTTCGCGTGCTTTTATTTTTACCACAACAGTTGTTCAATAATTTGTTCATTTTATTTTGTACAATAATCTTTACTTGTATGTAAAATTTCATCACGATTATGTCATCCTTTAATCCATCGAATCATATCTAGAGATTGATATCTCAGTTGGGTCGACAAGCCTTTTTCCAAACACAAAACTGTTACTAAGCTCGTACAAAGTGATACAAGAGGAGAATTAGTTTGTTGATGAGTAAGAGTTAGAAGAGTTAGTTGACTAGTTGGTGGAGTTGATAGAGTGAGAGTTAGTGAATGAGTGGAATTAGTTATGTGATAATTGATATGTACTTTCTTTGTTATTTCTCTCCCTTGTCTCTGTTATTTTAATGCTGTGTTTGGTTGGGAAATTTGAGGAGGAATTTAGAAAGGAAAAGAGAAAAGGTATGTAAAACTATGTGAAACATAAGTATGTTTTATTCACATTTCACATACCTTTTCCATTTTCTTTTCTAAATCCCTCTTCAAATTCCCCAATCATTTTGGTGTGCATCGCAAAGAACTTACAAGATAGCGATTGTAATGATCGACAGCAATATCTCCATTAGTTCCATCCATGATATTACCTGTAACAGACCTCCATGGAAAATATGAGAGAACGAAGAAAAGAAAAGAGAAGACAAGAAAAAAACATATAACAAGTTGGGTAATCTTACCGGGTTTATGAGAGAAAACATCCCAATTATTGAGGCCTTTTCCATCACTCAAGAAAGCTCCTTCAAACTATAAAAATACCAACGAACCACAAAAAAGACATATAAACCATTAAAAAAAGTTAGGATTTTCACAATATGAATAGAAAGAAATAAAGAAGGTTAAAGAAACCTGATAAGAAGAGGATGCAGTTCCAACTAGGAAGTTGTCTGAGAATGAAGATGGATATGCTCCTTCTTTCATGGTGATGAGATTACATGACACCATGAGACTTGAGAAGCATATCTCAAACACGAAGAAAACATGAAACAACAGTTGAAGTTTCATGTTCCCCAGTTATTAGAAATTGATAAATTGCCTTCTTAATGAGAGAGAGAGAGAGAGAGTTGAGTTTTCCCATAGAGTTCATAGGGGTATAAATAGAGAAGTACTACAGGCAAGCAAGGCAGTAACCTTGAGTTGATTTTGAATATGTAGGTTGTTGGAAGGGGTAGACTCAATAGACAAATATACCTTTGCCATTACTTGACAAAACATTTGGTAAGATGGGTAAAATAGTGCCATCATGGATAGCGTATAACACAACATATAGGAATAAGCCATTGCAACCACTGAAAGGGGGGTTTTAAGTTTCATGTTCTTTTTATTGCCGGTCATGAAAGCTTCTCTTTGTTGGACAAGATCCCACAACTTTAGCCCTTTTTTTTTTTTCCTGAAATAGCGTTAGTATGTTAGTATAGTTATATTACAACTAATGGGTTGCCGTTGCTCCATCAACTTGAACCCTTGACCTCCCACTCATTACACCCTAAGGTGTAGTTACTAGACCATTGGGTCACATCCCCATGTCTAACTTTAGCCCTCTTTTGGGCCGTGGTTGTTCAACCACTTTGTCACTTAGTTCTATTGTTTAAGACTCACTAAAGTAATATTAAAAAACTTTTATTGCAAAAAGTCTCAATTTTTCAAGGTTAGCATGAAGACTTCATTTTGACGAGGTTTTAAAAAATCTTGAGCTGCTACTGCTTTCAGGAATATGATATTAGACATACAAATTTACAATTCACTGTAGTTCCCAGACAATCATGTAGATTTATTTATTTATTATTATTATTATTTTTTTATTTTTTCTGTCGCTACCACACTTTCCACAGGTATCCTTGATGACACAAGTTCAACAACAGAGAAAATGCAATTGCTAATACTATTACATGGGCCATGGCTCATGTGCACCTGGTGAGTATAACTTTGGACCGATTAGGAATATTATATGCAAAAATATTCACAATTGATTGACTTATTTCCTGCAGTGTTTGATCGGGGGATTTGAGAAGAGATTTGCAAAGAGAAATAGAAAATGTAAGTGAAATGTGAAAAAAATATATCTACATTTCACGTAGTTTCACACATCTTTTCCCTTTCCCTTTTCCTTTTTCTTTCCAAATCTCTCTCCAAATCTTCCAACCAAACACAACATTAGAAGATGCATAAATGGGAAGTAGTGATTGCAACTGGTGGCAAATTGAAAAAATATAAGTTCAAAGAATGGTGCCACACTGCTAAGATACATACATACCCAGTTGCAGCAACCACAGATTCACAGCTAGAGGCAGAGCCACCGCTGCAATCTCAACTTAAGAAGAAGTCAGCATTGATATCTTGTTCATCACAGCTCTGTTTTCCTAAATGTTCTTCAGATAATATCTGTAACAAAAATAGCTACAGTTGTAATGTTTGTTAGACAGTTAGAGTGTTTGTTAGCTGAGTTAGTTACTGAATTAGTTACTGAGTTACTCAGTTAGTTACTCAGTTAGTTAGATATTTTTCCTATATAATATCTTGTACAGTGTATATGTGATTCATTGAATAAAATTTGAGATGTCTTTTATTCTTCATATGGTATCAGAGCTTCTCTAAGCTCTTACGGGTATCCTTCAAGCTTCATTCATGGCAGATCCTGTTTCTTTACCTTTAAGTCTTCAGCCTCTTCTGTCCAATTTTGGTTCTCTCATTACTGTTAAACTTGATTCCACAAATTTTTTGATTTGGATAAATCAACTCCATAATATTTTTCGAGCTACAGGTCTTCTTGGATATGTGACAGGTGCAATACCTTGTCCTCTATCTGAAATTACGGATGCATCTGGAAAATCTATTTCCAATCCTGCATATCTTCAATGGGAAGCAATTGATGCAAATCTGCTCACATGCTTAACTGCAACATTATCTTCATCAATATATTCATCTGTTCTTCATCTCCAGAGTAGTTCACAAGTTTGGCAAACACTAGAGAAGAAATTTACTTTTGTCTCTCGATCTCATATTCATCAATTGAAGAACAAGCTTCATACAATTCGAAAGCAATCCTCTTCCATTGACTGTTATCTTTCACAGATCAAAGAAGTTTCAGATCAGTTAGCTCTGTCTGGGGCAAATGTTGAGGATGAAGATCTTATTCTTCTTACCTTAAATGGCTTACCAGACGAATATGATGCATTCAAAACATCAATTCGTACTAGATCTAATGCTATCTCTATGGAAGAGTTGTGTTCCTTACTTGGCTCAGAAGAAATTCACATCGAGAGCAAGATTAAGCATTCTTCCAAATCTGATTTGCATGTTGCTTATTCAGCACCCAAAGGTTCCACTTCTAGTTTTAGTTTTGATTCTGGTTCTGCTTCTGGTTCTGGTTTTGAAGCACAACACTCCATTCTTGGATCATATCATCGTCCTACTTTCAGTGGTAGATCTCAGTACAGAGGAGGTAGAAATGGTAGATATTTTCGTGGCAATAGATCTCATAATCGATTTTCTAACAATCGATCAAGATCATCAGCCTACTCTGGTTCTGCTTCCTCTATCTGTCAGATCTGTGGCAAATTAGGTCATCTTGCATTAGACTGTTGGTATCGACTTGATCCACATTATTAACCTTCAGCAACTGCTTCTCTCAAGGCCTATGCTGCTGCTGTAGCTTCTTCCTCTTCAGATTCTCCTGTCCCTCCTTGGTATATTGATTTAGGAGCAACAACTCATCTTACACATGACTTGACCAATCTTCAGCAGTATCAAGCCTATCAAGGCCCAGATCAGGTTACAGTAGGCAATGGCTCAGTTTTACCTATTCAACATGTTGGAAGTGGTATTCTTCCAACACCTCAATTTTCTTTTCATCTGTCCAATCTTTTGCATGTTCCTTCTATATCATCCAATCTCTTATATGTTCATCAATTAACCAAGGATCATAACTGTCTTGTTATTTTGATTTTGATTCTTTTTTCATTCAGGACAAACACACCAACTAGATTCTACATAAAGGATCAAACATCAATGGCCTTTACCAATTGTCTCCATCCTCTTCTATCTGTCCTAAGCAACCACAGGTTTTTCAGTCATCTACTGGTTCAGTCACTCAAATCTCTGATTTGTTATGGCATCAAAAATTGGGTCATCCTTCTGTTTTCAAGCTTCAACACCTGGCATCCCATCTTTCAAATAAAAAGATTTTTAATAAAGTCATAGATTGTACTGACTGTTATGTGTCTAAAAGTCATAGACTTCCTTTCAAATTGTCTTGTTCTTCTAGTGATAGTCCTTTTTCTCTTGTACATGCTGATGTATGGGGGCCTTTTACTGTTGATAATGCTCCTTTTCGATTTTATGTTTTGTTTGTTGATGTATGGGGGCCTTTTACTGTTGATAATGCTCCTTTTTGATTTTATGTTTTGTTTGTTGATGATTGTAGTAGATTCACTTGGATCTATCCCTTACATTTTAAAAGTGAAGTCTATGAAAAATTGCTTGAGTTTAAAGCCTATGCTGAAAATCAATTTCATACTTCTCTTAAAATCTTAAGAACTGATGGAGGAACTGAATTTGTCAACAAAAAGGTTGCTTCTCTTTTCTCTTCTTATGGTATTATTCATCAAACCAGTTGTCCTTATACACAAGCACAAAATGGTGTTGCTAAGAGGAAGCATCACCATATCACTGAAACTGCTATCACCCTGCTTCACCAATCTTCTCTACCTTTGAAATATTGGTTTGGTGCTGTTGCAACAGTAGTTTTCCTTATCAATAGATTGCCTAGTTCTGTTCTTTCTAATCAATCTCCATTTCAGATTTTGTTTAAAACACTTCCAGATTTTTCTTTTTTCAAGGTCTTTGGTTGCCAATGTTTTCCTTGGTTAAAACCCTATACCACTCGCAAGCTTCAACCTAAGTCCTTATCTTGTGTCTTTTTAGGCTATCATCCTACTGTCAAAGGCTATAGGTATTTAGATCTTATTAGTGGTAAGATATTTGTTTCTAGGCATGTCATCTTCAATGAATCATGTTTTCCTTTTGCTTCCACTGCTCTTTCCTCCTCTTCTTCTTCTTCTCCTCTCTCTTTGCCTCAGATTCATACTTTCTTCTGGCCTTCTTCTCTTCCTTCTGAGATTCCCACTGTTTCTGCTTCTTCTACATCATCTTCTTCTTCTTCTTCTTCCTCTAGTTCTCCAGCTTCATCATCTCCTCTGAATTTTTCTCCTCATTCTCCTGCTATTCCTATTAATTCTATTTTCATTGATCTTTCTCCACCTTCTGGTTTGCCTTCTAATATGGTTCCTCCCTTGTCTTCCTCTAATGTTCATTCCATGCTCACTCGATCTAAAACAAAACCTCCTCTGTGTCTTACAGCCTCTTCTTCTTCTTATCTTCAAACTGAACCTCCTACTGTTCAAGCTGCCATAGCTTCTCCTGTGTGGCTTACTACTATGCAGGAAGAATTTCAAGCTTTGCAACAACAAGGCACTTAGGATCTTGTGTCTCTTCCTCTTCATAAAACAGCAATTGGTTGTAAGTGGGTGTATAGAATCAAGCGGAATTCTGATGGTTCTGTGGCACGATATAAAGCTAGATTGGTGGCAAAGGGATATCTTCAACAAGAAGGTGTTGATTTCCATGAAACTTTTAGCCCTGTGGCTAAGCAGCCTATAATCCATATTTTTATTTGCTTGGCTCTCCATTTTAATTGGCCTATTCATCAATTAGACATATCTAATGCCTTTCTTCATGGCACCTTAGATAAGGAAGTGTATATGTTACAACCTCCCGGTTTTATTCAGTCGTCTAATCAAGTATGCAAACTTAAGAAAGCCTTGTATGGACTTAAACAAGCTCCTCGAGCTTGGAATTCTATTTTCTCTAAGCTCCTCATTTCTCAAGGCTTTGCTAACAGTCATTCAGATTCCTCTCTTTTTGTTCAACACACTGCCACCAGTCTTCTTATTCTTGTTGTCTATGTTGATGACATTCTAGTCATTGGTAGTGATCCTGCTCTTCTTGCACAATTTATTCAGCATATGCATACTGTGTTTTCCATGAAGGAATTGGGGAGTGTGTCCTATTTCTTGGGCATCTTAGTTCAAGCCTTAGCTCATGGTTACTTCTTATCCCAAACTAAGTATGCCATTGAGCTGCTTCACAAAGCTGGTTTAACTGATTGTAAACCCTGCTCCACTCCTTTAGCTGTTAAGGCTTCTTATTCTCCTTCTTCTTCTTC